TTTTGTTTGTGTGGTTTTTGTTTTTGTTTTTGGTAATGAGGATTGAACTCATGACCTTGTGCTTGCCATGAAGGAGTGGTGCCACTGAGCTATATCCTCAGCTTGTAATCAGGTTTTTTAATGTCATTTGTGCTATCTCCAGCTTGTTCATTGACTCTAATCAATCTTATGTTATTCTTCTTTGCACAATCTAGCAGCTGTTAGCAACTGTTAGATTAATTTTTTGTGGTCTCTTGCTATTTTTGGCGGGGAGGTACTCGGGATTGAACTCAGGACCTTGCACTTGTGAGGCAGGTGGCAGAACCACTGAGCTAAATCCCCAGCCCTCTCTTGCTATTTTTAAGAAGTCTTTCTTTTCGATTGCTAACCACAATCCTTTCTTCCATATCTGATATTCTGTCCTCACATTGGCTCATTCTGCTGTGTATACTTTCAATGAAATTTTGTATCTCCTGGATATCTGTTTGAATCTGTTTCATGGATTCCATTTCTTTCCTATGTTGGTCATACTTGGTTTCCATCATTTTTCTAATTGCTTCTCTTTTTTAAAAATCTGTATATGCTTTAGAATAAGAATGTCTTTCATTATGCTCACCATCTCTGTAGTTATCTGAGAAATTATTTCTGATCTAACTTTTTCTAGAGCCTCATTCATCTGCTCTATTACTTCCAGTATTACCACTTCAGAGTTCAGGTGGGTGTCTTTTTCAAATTGTTCCACCTCACTGCCCCCTGGGTTTGCCTTTGGTGAGCTGAAAGTCTGGGGTTACATCTTAAGTGTCTTCTCATTTTATTTTATTTTTAGTTTGATTCCAGGGTGAACGCTTGTAAATTGCTTATGGCAGATGTTTTTATTGCTAGTACTGAGAACCTTTAGGGAACATCTACTTGTCAGAGATGCCTTCCAGGTATATTTGGATTTTGAGCTTTGAATCTATTACAAGATCCTACCTCTTCAATTTATTGGGGATGATAAGTTGCTTCCTATTTGGCCTAGCCCCTGGTTCTTTGATACTGGCCTATAGTATTGTTTATGACCCTTAGGCTATCTCAGTCTTGGCATACCAGGAAAAACAACTGATTAGAACAATTATGCCACCATGGCTAAAGTAGTACAATCAGCAATAACAACACCATCAAACACAGCGTAGAGAATGACAAACTGTGGTAAATGTTAATTTGCCACTTTTAACTGTGTGAACTATATTTGTGGTTATATAACAAAATCTAAAACAAATCAGAAAATTGTATACACTTATGCCTTCAATTTGGCGATTTCATACTCAAGGAGGAAGATTTAAAAGGGGTTGGGGGGAAAATAGAGAAATAGAAGAAGAGGAAGAGATTAGAAGCAAGACTGATACTTCCAAAACTGTTATACAGATTCAATGCAATCCCAACTGAAATCGCAACAGTATATTTCACAGAACTAGAGAAAACAATCCAAAAATTTATTTGGAACCAGAAGAGACCTAGAATAGAAGCAAGGCTGGAGGACAAAGGAAAATTACACAAACTTTGGGAAATCAGTGAAGAAGGCAGAGGGGAAAGAGAGAAAGAAGAAATAAAAAGAAGAACAGAGGGCCAGAGATTTAGCTCAGTGGTTTCACTGCCTGCCTCACAAGCACAAGGTCCCAAGTTCGATCCCCAGTACAAAAAAAAAAAAAAAAAAAAAGAAAAAGAAAAGAATAGAACATGCCAGGCGCTATGTCACATGCCTGTAATTCCAGCACTCAGTAGGCTGAGGCAGGATCACCATGAGTTGAGGCCTGTCTCAAAAAACAAACAAACAACAAAACTAAAACCAATGTCCCTAGTTGTATAAAAACAAGATCAAGCTGGGCATGGTGGTACATGCCTGTAATCGTAGCACTTGGAAGGCTGAGGCAGGAAGATCACTGTGAATTCAAGACCAGCCTGGGCAAGCGAGTTCCAGGTTAGTCTCAACTACATTGTGAGACCCTGTCTCAAAAACCAAAACAAACAAAAAACCCAAGATCGAGAAGAAAACAAAAACAAGAAAAGATGAAAAAAAGTGTCAGGGCCAGGGATGTAGCTCAGTGGCACCACACCTGCCTGGCAAGCACCAGGTCCTGAGTTCAATCCCCTGTACTGCAAAAATAGCCCACTTCAGGGTGTGTCTCTGCTGTCACTGGTAGACAGAGTGGGCAGAGCCCAGATCTGTGTTTATTAATCCTAGCATATCAGCCATAGATCTATGGCAGAGTAGTAGACAATCCCAGCAAGCCTGCACCTTTAGTTCCATTGAAGCTCAGGCTGCTTTCTGGCTGTGAGGCTGGAACCAGATTTGTTCAGCCTGCAACACTCTATGTACCTCCTGCCAGCTTGAACTTGATTCTGCCTCACCCTGACACTGGTAGTTTCTAGATGGAGCCAGCCAGCAGCTGCTCTGAGTTCCAAGCTCAGTTGGTCTCTCTCCAAGACGGCTAATGGCCAATCACCCTCTGTTGGGGAATATCTGAACCTGAACAATTCACCAGCATGTGCAGTCCCGTGTCCACTGCTCCATTCCACTGGTGCATTTCTCTGTGAGGTTTCTGGGGTCCCCAGTAGTCACTATGCATCTGCAGGCTTGAGCTGCCCCGCCCCCTCCACGCAGTGAGTCAGGGCTCAGGGAGAAAGTGCTGCTTGCCCCCTCCTTCTTCCGCACTGGAGCCTCTCTTCACTCTCCTCCATGGGCTGCAGTTCTCACTTCATATCCTTGCTGGGTCCCAGGGATCTACTTCCCTCTTTCTTCTCTTCCTCACCTTGCTATAATCCAGCATCTGGACACCAAATCTCAGAGAGGCTGTTTCTCTGCTGTTCACCTCTCTGCCATCTCCCTGGAAGTCCTTTACTATTTTGTTTTTTGTTTTTGTTAAGACAGCATCTCACACTATGTAGGTCAGGCTGTCTTTGAACTCATTATATAACCTAGGGTGGCCCGTCCTGCCTCAGCCTCCCAAGTGTTGCGATTATATACGTGTGCCCACCAAGTACTTTACTTTAAAGTGGCTGCTACTCTCCCATTACCTCAAATGAGGTAACTGAGGCTTGGGGAATGACTTAACCTAAACTCACCAGCTTGTGAGTGAGAGGTGGTATGAATCTTGCCGTCCCATCTCCAAAGCTCAGGCTCTTCCTGCTTTCCTTCACTGACTGCCCTCAATTAAAGCTTTAAGATTTCTAAGAGTGTTAATGCAGGGCTTTTCTAAATTTCCCATGCTTAGACCACACTCTACATCAATTACATCAAAACCTCTGGGAGTGTCTGGCTTCAGTCATTGTTAAAATTCCCCAAGTGAGTCAGATGTGGAGGTGCATGTCTTTAATCCAAGTACACTGGGAGGCTGAGGCAGGAGGATCACAAGATGGAGCCCTACCTGGGCAATTAAGCAACTTAGTGAAACTGTCTAAAAAAAAAGAGGGCTGGGAATGCAGCTCAGTGCAAAGTCCTGGGTTTAATCCCCAGCATCGTAACAACAACAACTCCCTAGGCGGTTCCAATGCACAGGGCCATGAGGAAATGAAAGCATCCTTCATCAGCCCAAATGGCAAGGACATCTGGGGAAACTGTTTTGTAGAGGACACACGAAGAATTGTGAAATGGAGAGTCAGGGGAACTGGCTGCTTCCCTAGGAGAGAGGGAGACCGGAAGGAGAGCAGAAGGGGAAGCAAAAAGGTTTAAGATGCAATGATGTTTACTAATTCCCCATAATGAATGTGTTCGTTATGCATCACAAACATGTTCGTGCTATAATAATAATTAAAAAATTCCAAGCCCTCAGTTAAAGACATAACCAGAGGGCAGGCAGCAAAGGACAACGGCAGTGGTGACATTTGTCCTGACACACACCCTGGTGCTTAGAGGGTCTGCAAAGCCTAATGACCTCCTGACAAGGAGGCAGACCAGGGACAAAGCTGGTGTCTGTGTTAGCCATGGAAGGTGCCAGTAGGATTGGCAGAGAGCAGTGGTGACAAAACCTATGGCACACGTGCCCTAGTGAGCTGTTCATTATCACTGAAAGCTCTAAAAGGTTCGCCATCACTGGCATAGAGGATGCAAGCATGAGGGCTAAATGCAGGGAGTCTTGCTGGACCACCCGAGAGTGGACCCAGCTCACAGCGTACTGTGTGATCATGGGTAGGCCACTTGATTCTGTGCCTCAGGATCCCCAGCAATCAAATGGAGCTAACAAGAGCATTTGTCTCTTGCTTTGTTGCAAAGGTTGTTAGTTCTCAGTGTGTGGGAAAGGCTGAGATCTGCATCTGCCTCTTGGTAAACTGCTCATCCAGTAGGAGCTATTTTTGCTTTTCTTTAAGCATCTGGCATGAGCCCCTCTAGTGAGAAGATGGCTTCTATTCACCTCCACCCACTTCCTGGGTGGGAGGCAGGCAGGAAGCCTCCTCCTCCCAAAGGTGACCTGGCAACCGGGTTCAAAGCCCTTCCCAACCCCGCCCATCCTGCCCTGTGCCCTCTTCACTCCCACACCTCATCCCCTACCTGTGTGAGGCCTTGGCCCACCCCAGGGAAGGAGCCCGGGAGGTGGGAGGAAGGGAGGAAAGAGCAGGGGTGGAGGCGCTGTCTCCCTGGAGGACGGGTATTTCCTGCCTTGTGCACTTGCTCATTTGCTCTGCCAACCTGCACTAGCACCTTTGGGGGCTGGGTACTTGGGTAGGGAAACGAGCAGACTCAACACTGGGAAGGCTCTGGTCTCTTCTGGGTGATGCCTAGAGAGAAGGGAAGGCCTGCGTCTAGTTGAAAGCAGAGTCGTTGGTGGGAAAGACCAGCCCAGAACACCGTGTGTGAGAAGGGCAGGTACACGAGGTGGGAGCAGCTGTGTGAAGGGTGGAGGCGTGAAGCCTCCTGTCATTTATCACCAGGACATCCCCCTGCACCAGCATGAGGTCACTCAGCTGGATCATGGCCCAGGCCTCTGTCATTGCCTTCTCTTTCAGACAGAGGCTGGTGCTTGGCCAGGGCCCTAACCCATACCCACCTTCTAGGACTACAAATGACTCCCAGGAACTTCTCCAGGCTCAAGAATCAGACACTTGATCTGTATTCCTGCTCAGCCACACTCTGGGCAAGTGGCTTTCCCTCTCTGAACCTCAGTTGCCTCATCTGTAAAACAGGAATAATTGTGCCAATGTGAGGACCAGACTTGGTCACACTGCCATATTGAAAAAGCATCAGCACACACAGCTTCCCTCCCGACACGGATGTGCTCTCCCTCGAGACAGTCTGTCCCTTGCGCTATCCCTGAAGTACTTCCTCTTTCTCCTTCATCTACCCACACCTCAGCTTGGGTCCAGCTCTGTCATACTTTAGATCTTTCCTGGTAGCCATCCTGGGCCTGCTGGCTGGGCCCTCAGGAAAGGAAGCAGCCACCTGGGCCTGCAGGAACTCAGCACCAAGCAGAGCTGCCCTGGAAACAGATGCTGGGCTGCTGTGTTCTGGGGCCAGGCCAGAGGCTGGGCAGACCCAGCCAGGATGAGGAAAGAAAGATGGGTCTCCCATCCCAGAGGAGAGGTCTCTTCCTCTCTTCCCAGAGCCCAGTCACCTCTGCCAAGCTGAAGCTGTGTGGTACAATTTTGAAGGTTAATTTATTACAGAAAAATTAAATGATACATAAAGTAATTATTCATCCTGCAAAAACCAGTTATATAAGTCAGATAATGTTATCACAATGCACTATGGCTCAACTTGATCTGTGAATATTTATACATTATTATAATAGAAATGACAAATTTTTATCTAGCAGGGCATGATGGTTCATGCCTGTAATCCCAGGGGGAGGCGGAGGCAGAAAGACTGTGAGTTTGAGACCAGCCTGGGCAACGTGGCAACTCATCAAGACCATATCACAAAATAAAAATAAAAATAAAAACATTAAAAAGGGCTAGGGATGTAGCTCAGTGTGAAGGCCTTGGGGTCTATCCCAAGTACCGCAAAATAAGGAAATAATAATAAAAACAACAGTAGCAAGAGCAACAATAAAAAGAATAGTAAAAGATATACCAAAAGAAAATTATCTTTGTGGGGCGGGGGGGTGGTGCACACCAGTAATCCCAGCACTGGGGAGGCTGAGGCAGGAGGATCGCTGTGAGTTTGAGACCAGTACATAGTGAGTTCCAGGTCAGTCTCAACTACATAGTGAGATGCTGTCTCAAACAAACAAGAAAACAAACAAACCAAAAAAGAAAGTTATCTTTGGCTAAAAAACGGTAACTGTCTTCAGATTAAAGGAACCCACTTAGTACTAAGTAGAAATAATTTTAAAATGCCTATACCAAAGACACATCATGATAAAATTATTTTTGTTTTTGCAGTTCTTGTTATTTAGTTATTTGTATTGCCTTTTATAGGCCTAACAACTCCCCGGAACAAGTAAGAAATTAACCATGAGACCCCTTGGAAAATTGTGAGAACTAGTTGGTAGAGGTTTTGCATTGCATACTTTTCTATATTTCTTGCTGTTGAACCACCTGATGGTATTACTCATTTCAGAAGCTGAAAAAAGTGCTAAACATATTTGTGCACTAAAAACTTGGAAAATAAATTTGCAGTGCAGTATAAGGGGCAAAAAATACTAACATCCACATTGTATAATTCTTATTTTTTTTTTTTTTAGTACTGGATATCAAATCTAGGGCTTTTACACCGAGTTACATCCCCAATCCTTTTTATTTGTTTATTTGTTTGCTTATTTTTGTTTTTTTAAGACAGGATCTCACTATGTAGTTCAGGCTGGCCTTGAGGTTATTATGTAGCCCAGGCAGACTTTGAACTCTGAGTGATCCTCCTGCCTCAACCTCCCAAGTGCTAGGATTATAGGTGTGCACCACAATGCTAGACTATTTCTTTATTTGATACAGGATCTCACTAAGCCTCCCAGGCTAAACTCAAATTTGTGATTCTCCTGCTTCAGCCTCCCAGACCACTGCAATTACAGATATACACCACTATGCCTGGCTTAACTGAGTATTGATTTGTTTTTTTGAGAGGAGGTCTTACTCTGCAGTCCAGGCTGGTCTTGAACTCACCAAGTATCCCAGGCTAGCCTTGAACTCTAGGCAATCTTCCTGCTACATCTCGATAGAAACATTGACAAAGAATACAAACATGGTTAAGGTCCGGGGATTTAGTCCAGTGGTGCTGCCACCTGCCTTGCAAGTGCAAGGTCCTGAGTTCGATCCCCTGTACCAAAAAACCAAAAGCCAAAAACCAAAACAAAACAAGAAACAAACCCATAGTTAAAAATCTTTTTTATCCTTCCCTAATGCAAAGATTTTAAAATAATAATAGTCAACATTAATGTAGAGACATCCTCACATTCTTCACGGGCATCAGTTGGTACAATTCCTTTAGAAGGCAATTCAGAAAATAGGTGTCAAAGGTTCAAAATTATTCATAATCATTGGCAAAGTGATTCTACATCTAAGAATCTTAAGTGATCATCACCGGTCAGAGCAAAGGCACAAGCTACAGAGCCCTGAGAGATGGGCCGCACTCATATTGCCTGTGTAAAGGGTTTGAGACTGTGCCCTCTGGGTTCCTCTAGAGGTGCTGGGGTCACCTAGGGAGGCCAAGCGCAGCTGGCAATGCCGACTCTAAGGAATCGTACTCTGCTGCCATCTAGGGTTTGCCCCCCATAATGGCACCCAGCTAGAGATAGACCAGTTGCCACTAACAATCTCATCAAGAAACCCTCTCCTTTATGTACATGTACACATTCCCCACAATGAAGGTAATCCTTATGTACTGCAAATATGCACTAATAATTTTTTTTTAAAAAAGAAAGAAATGGGGATTTAGCTCAGTGGTTTCGACGCCTGTCTTGCTAGCACAAGGTCCTGAATTCAATCCCCGGTATCAAAAGTAAATAAATAAAAATAAATAACTAAAATAAAAAGAAAGAAATGAAGGCCCCCCAAATTCAGGAAAAACTAATCGCATGTTTAGATTTGACGAAGAGTGGACAGAAACGTGACAGAAGGGAGTGCTCTAATGAAAACAAGTTCAGAGTCCTCTGGGCCTCTCTGGGCAGTGTTCTTCCTCCAGAGATGGGCGGGGGCCCCTGTGGCTCAGTCTCCTGACCTCTGATAAGTTATTCAGAGATTTCTTTAGGGTCAGCTCATAAACAGCAAGACAGGGAAAGGTTAGGAGGTTCAAGGCTGGGTTTCATGATTTGCTGAGGTGAACGGCACTTCTAGTTTTTAGGATCTGCCCTGAGGAAGAGAAATTCTGGTGTCAAGACTGCTTTAGAAGACGAGAGGAGGGGCCGGAGATTTAGCTCAGTGGTTCCGCAGCCTGCCTCGAAAGCACAAGGACCCGAGTTCAATCCCCAGTACCAAAAAAAAGAAAAAAGAAGACAAGAGGAGTGGGAGACAGGAGGACAGGAGAGACCAAGTTTGAGGCCTTCGGTCTCTTTAGTTCAAAGTACTGAGCATGCTGAAGCACGAAGCTTCTGGGTATCATTTTCTAAGCCTCGGCACGGTCTTGTGACCATGGTCCATGAGCGCTAGAGTCCCCTCAGACAATGCCTCTTGTATCTTCTAGAAGTAGACAGCAGCAACACGGCACACGTGTGGACATGCGGCATTAGGTGGGGGACATGGAGCAGGGGTGCACCCTTATTTCCGACCTTGGCCCTGGGCCACACACTGCCATGAAGAAATTAAATGTTGGTCTTAAGAGCCTGGTGGATTTATAATTTAGAAACATGGGATTACAGTAATAATTACAAATTAGGAACACTGGCTGGGAATGGTGGTTCCTGCCTGTAGTCCCAGCTACTCAGGAAGCTGAGGGATCATTTGAGTCCAGCAGTTTGAGGCCAGCAAGGGCTACACAATGAGCTTTCACATCTCAAAAGAATTAAAAAATAAAACCAAGTCCATATCTTAATAAAAGTTAAGAAAATTTCAAAAAAGCATAAAGACATAAAACTTGGAAACATTTTATTACTTCTGTATGCTAGAGAACAGATTTTTTTAAAGAGCTTTAGAAAAAAAGGAGACATTGAGAACTTTCATAGCAAAAAAAAAAAA